GGTTCTGCTCTTGAGTCAACGTGAACTAAGAAATTTACGTAAAAAACCGATTTTCATTTTCAGCCCCATTTTTTGCATTAGAAAAATCAAAACCGCCGCGAAGCAAGCGGTCATTTGATAGTACATATATGAACACTAACATTTTTTTTATTAATTAAATTATGTAATTATTTATTAAAAAAATATTATTAGAATACAATTAAAATCAACACTTTATGCTGGGTTTCTACTAGGCATTAAATGAAACAAATTTAAATGACAAAGTTGGCGTTAAGAAATACCATGGAACGTTAAGAAAAAATTAAATTCGTTTCCAAAATATTATGTAATACCTCTATATTGGCAGTACGCTAACTTCTCAATGTGTAAAGTCAGTACCGTTTTTGTGAATGTGTTGTGTACGTGAGCGCCGTTTTTGTGTATGGGTTGTATACATGTTTATTTATGTATGTGTTCCTTTTCTTTCGTACGTGTTTGTTGATTTATCTGTACTGTAATGTTTACTGCCAATATAAGAGTGTGTATTACATATGTATATGGTTTCCAAATGGCATTTTTTATATGCCATGCATTTTTCGTCATATCAATGCCAAGTAGAATTTCAGCATTACACATCTTTGATTTATCCGATGTTGCTCACTTTTTATTACCTCTCGTGCATATTTAACATATTGTTTGGCTGGAATATTGTGATAATGTTTAATATGTGTACATAGTTATAATTACAGATGAATGATTACAGTATTTTTCATTTTTATATCATTGCGTTATTGGTTTAATACTTACATACATATCTAAAATTGTGTATCTATAGGATTTTATTTTTTTGAAGCCAATTGCGCAATATACGAGCTGATTTTCTCTAATAGCATGCGATTACCATTCGCGCTTGCTTTATTTTGTACGGCATATAATGTGTTGATATCACGTTGTTCAAATGCGCTATCCGCAGCTTCATCCCATAATCTACAAAAGTACATTGTTTATAATTATAGTACATATTTAAATATTGTCTTAAAACTCACTCTGCACGTAAATACCAATGCGCCTTCCGATCATCCCGACATTTCATAATGTATTTGCGTGCCTCATGCAAATTATTCTGCTGTAGACACATCTCTACAAACGGCTCATAACCAATGGGACTTTTTTTACTTTTTGCAAATTTCTCCAAGTCATCCCATTTGTATTTTTCAGACAAGGTTATAATGCGCAACCACCAAAAGCGCTTATCTGGTACCTTGAAGTCATTTTTGATCTTTTCCGCTTCTTTGAGCTCTCCAATCTGTAGCAACAGTAGCATCGTGTCATGTATGGAGAGACCATTGAAGCTGATTTGATGCACCTTGCTGTATCTAAAAATTATTCGACTTTATTTGGAACTTTTTGTAAATTATGCATTGAGACTCACTTGGGAGTTAATACATTCTTTTGCATTTTCAATATTTTTCCTGTGTCAGCACACAATTCAGCCTCGACATGCTTTCGCCCCTGTGTATAACTATTGGCTATGATAGGCAGATTTGACTCTAAGCTATCGCTCTCGAGTGCATTGCGGAAATGGTACTCGGCAATGGATTTTTGGTCATCCTCTTGATTGTAGATATCATACAGCGCAGTCCGACTCCATTCGTTCATCATTTTTTTGTAGATATTTAAAGCCATCGGATATTCGCGTATAATTATCTGAAATGTGGTATTATTACATAACTGATGGTATTTTTAAAAGTAATTTACATTAAAATTTGCAAGCATCATTTTCTTTTTAATCTCCAATAGCACAGTAGCCACCAGCTCCGTATCCCCAGATTGCGTGGCACTTCTAATGGCGCGGTCATACTTGCCCAATTTTAGCAATAGCGGCACTTGCAATGATGCGCGAGGTTCCAGTTCAAGCAGCTAATAAATTAAAAATGTATCACATTTTTGCATATCTACAAATTTACTATGTTCATGCAAATACTTTTATAGCAAGTTCATCGCGTCCCACATCATGCGCCTTTTCAGCGATGTTACAAAAAGAGATGCCTTGCACTGAAGGATTTTTGAATTTTTCGGTAATTTTTCGCGCAACCTCATTATCGTCTGTAATAAAATAGTTACTTGCGCTGTAAGTGCCACGAATTCTTATTTGGCTTACTTTTGTCATTTACAACTTTGTGGTAAGCCCAGTGTTCTAAAATCCACGACTCTGGTAATTTCAGGTGTTTTGCTACCTGTATTGCAATGGCATAATGTTTCCGAAAGACTAGGCGGCCTAGCACAACTTCCGGTTTCAGATGACAAAATCTAGAATAAAATTTAAATCGCGCACCTTTAATTTACTAAGATATAAAAATTTGAAGCAAATTACTGTTTATAAGTCAATGGCATTGCAATTTTTTCATGACGTAAAGCATTAAGCACGCGTAGTATTCTGAGTATCCGCATATATTCATCAGGATTGTGTGAAGGAATGAAACCTTTGCCAAAGTACGCAGTCTTAAATGAAAGTTATAATATATTTAATTTTTTATGTTTACCGCAAATTAGCAAAATTATTTACACGTAACAGGCTCTTTTGTGTCTCCGTGCAGAATTCATAACCTGCTGCTTCGATGCATTCGTCGACTGCTATGTCCATTTTATTGCGAAACAAACTCAAATATTCATCAGCTTGGTGTGATTTTTCCTGGTATTTCTTTTGTGCCTCAAATAAAAAGCTGGAAGGTTCTTGGCTGTTTACCGCAAATATATTTTGTACACACTTCGGCAACTTTTGAATCATTTCATGTGCGTTGTTAGTTATAATTCGTACACCATCCATTTCGGCCACGAGAAATATTGCTGGATCATAGGTGAACAGATTTTTATCGCCATTGCGGTTAACAACCAATAGGAATGAAGGATAGGATATGACTACAGCATCAGCCTGATGGTTCTCAGAGCTCATAACCCATTCAATTTGCCGTGGAATATCTTTTCTTCCTGTGTCAAATTCACAATATTTTTTATTCATATCTACTGAGCCTAGCCATAGGAGCCCATTATTTGTATACAACGCTAGATTTTGATGATTGTAAGACACTGACATGAGTAGTATGCGTTCGAACGGTCGGTCAAAGAGATTTCGTTTAATCGTGCCCACGGACTCGCCAGGGAATAATTTAATAATTTCTTGATCACGACCCAACAAACAATATGTGTTTCGTTCTTCTGTGATTATTTCCCAACAAGTGCATTCTGACGCGGATTCTGAAAAAGCCATACCATAACAATGTATATACTTATATATATCATTTAACTTTACTACCACAAAAAATGATATTTTTTGTGATTAACTAACTTGGAATTTCTGGAAGTTGTCGTGTACGAACGTCTTTCGCGTTATTGAGTTTCAAGAATATGCGTCCGGTTGTTGTAAGCACGGCTATGCCGGTACCGGAAGTGGATTGAAATATTTTAGCATCCACAATCTAAATTAAATATTTATAATTGCAAAAAAGAAAATTTTTTTTTATCAAACACACACCTTGGTTAAACTAGCCTCTTGGCCCATACTGTATGAGTCCTTTTCGTTGCCAAACATGTCATAAATAAATACTAATGCATCATCTTGGACACAAATAAGCTCCTCCATATCTGACCAGCCCATGTTAATTAGTTTGCCGTGGTTCCACTGTAACCAATTTGGAATTGTGTAAAAAGATTCATTTACAAATATGCATTATTTTTTCCGTATTATATACAAACCATGATTTTGGCCAACTCCAGACCGGCTGTGTCGAATATGCGTATCGTGGGTTTGACACTACCTTTAACTGGTACAATTTGCTTTGGATCTCGCATCACGGCTAATGGTCCACCAAACGGTGCGCCCACAACTTTCATGTACTCCAAGTCCACATCCAGTGGCCAGTCGGGAGTAAAAAGGTCCAATTTTCTTGAAAATGTAGCGCGTATATTGAACTGGATTATACATAGTGAATATAAAACCTTCGATATATTACCTATACGTATCCGGGCGTAGGACGAACCAATCGCCCGTGTTATACATAATCGGCATTTTGAGTTTTCTTTGTTTAGTAGAAAATCGAAAAATTACAAGAAACTCCTACTTGCAAAATAATAACAAATGCACTTAATGATTAGGGATGGAAACATTTAAGCAATGTTATCGATATATCTGTTAACAAAATTTAAGACTATCGATATCGTTATAACCAGTGGGACAGTGATCGGATGTCTCTAAAATTACAATAGATGCAGCACATTGTATGTAATTCTTGAATACTAGAAGTATTTTTTGTTGCGAACCCGTACGAGTCCGGACTAGTCTGATATAGTCAGAATCAGTCAGATTTTACTGGAAATCGATCCCGTACTCGGTTCTCTGACTATTGAGAGGACAAAAAAGAGAGTAAATAAAAGCTTATAAAAAGGTCATCTCTCTGTCAGAAGTTTCCAGTTTTAGTCCAAAGATTTTTTGCTGGCAAGTTCTGGTAAATGTGTCAAACGATCAGCTGTAGTGTGTTTGGCAACCAAATTGTAAACAAAAGAAAAGTACACTGTGCTAATGCATGTTGAAAAGTATTTAATTTCTTGTTTAAGTGAAAGTATTTTTGGTTATTTATATGTGGGAGCTGAGTGTGTTTACGTATAGAATAAGCAAATATTACAACCAAAATTTGGAGGTTATGTTGTTGTTGACAGAAGTTACAATTTTTTACTAGAAAGCTATCCCGTACTTTCCAATGTTACTCTCTCGCTCGGAGGAATTTTTATTTTTTGACAGATTCACTAGTTTCAGTCAGAGGAATACCGAATTGGACCTTACATATATGCCGAGCACCATTTTTTTTTTTTCTAAAACTGATTAATGCCACATTCACTATCGTAGGCCCTTTTTAAGCAATATATAAATAAATGGCTGCCCCATATAATTAACTTGTTTTGCGCGCTCTCCTCCAATTTTCGGCGCTACTGTTTGTGTTCATGCGTTTTTTGCAGAACATTAGTTGTCAACTGAACACTGTGCATTAAGTTGTCAACTAGATCAGCTGATTTGATTCGCTGGTAAATGCAAAACGAATATGTGAATAACCGTATATCATGTAAATTGTTGCTAAATTTACGGGTCTAACGTGTTCTTGAATCAATAGGTTGTAAAAACTAGTGTTTTCTTACACATTACATTAACTAATAACAAACACAAAGCATACGGGTGAGTGGAGGGCAGGAAGATTAAAAGTGCAACAATGCGCGTATGTATATATATTTTAAATTTCATCTTTTAAATCAAACATTCCATCATGCAGTGCACACGTGTCAGAGCCGCCAGGTTAGTCCAACAACCATCTACAAATATGGATACAAGTGAATCTCCAGGTGTAGCAGAAGGTGTGGACGCACTCACGTTGAATAGTCCTGGTGATGTTAAAGTAGACAAGGTACCGAACGGTGTAGAGGCCACGGAAGATGACGCTGATGTTGTGGATCCGTGGAATGTAACCTGTGCTAATGATGAAGGCATAGATTACGACAAGCTAATAAGTAAGCAATTTTTTATTTTTATTTTAGTACTTCAATAACTGAAAAAATCATTTGTAGAACGTTTTGGTTCCTCGAAAATAGATGAAGAGCTGATAACACGATTTGAAAAGATAACTGGAAAACCAGTACATCATTTTATACGTCGTGGTATTTTCTTCTCTCATCGTGATTTTCATACGATTTTGACTCTGAAAGAACAAGGAAAACCATTTTATCTTTATACTGGACGCGGACCAAGTTCGGGATCATTGCATATCGGACATTTAATACCATTTTATATGGCCAAGTATGTGTTGACATGTTAAGAGTATTAGAGTATTAGTAAAGTAAAGACGATTACAATGCCCTTTAGTTCATAGCAGGGTTGTTGCGAATATTATTCCGAAATAAAATCTTTTCCTTTGGTATCAAATGAAAGAGGACTTAAATATGTATCTTTAAAACTGAAATGTATAAACGAGGGAAGCCACAAATTGAAACATGTTTCAATAAAAAATTTTAATTAATTACTATAGAACAAACCTTGTGTCATGAATATGCATTTCTTTAGTATTAAATTATGAAAGAAATATAAATAGAGGCCGTTCATTATTTCTAAATAGTTCTAGTTTAAAGCTATTTCAGTCCTCTTTCATATGATACCAAATTTGTTTAATTTGGATAGGCGGTTTCTTTATTATCCGAAAAGGACTTTTATTTTGGAATAATATTCGCAAAAACCGTGGTTCATAGTATGAGCGGCTAGTTCTCTTTTTTTTTAACTTGCATATATATTTTTAAAATATATGTTGACATGTATGAGTATTACCGTATTAGTAAAGTAAATACGATTAAAATGCCAGTTAAGTTCATAGTATGAGCAGCTAGTTCTTTTATTTTTTTACTTGCATATATATTTTTATAACATTTTATGGCACTTTATTAAATTCTTCGCATTATCTCCTTTTACTTCCCATTAGATGGTTGCGTAAAGTAAATACGATTAAAATGCCGCTTAACTCTTTTATTTTTTTATTTGCATATACATTTTTATAATATTTTATGCCACTTTATTAAATTCTTCTTCTATGTCCTATATACTTCCCATTAGATGGTTGCAAGAGACATTCGATGTACCGCTGGTTATACAGTTAACTGATGATGAGAAATCGCTGTGGAAGGATCTGAAAATTGAAGAAGCTATTAAATTGGCATATGAAAACGCAAAAGATATTATAGCTATCGGTTTTGATGCAGAAAAAACTTTTATCTTCAACGACTTGGACTTCATTGGGTAAATTTTTAGTTTATTAAGTTTTATGTCTATGTTAATGTATGCATATTTGTTTCAGGAAATGCCCTGCAATGTATCAGAACATTATTCGCATTCAAAAATGTGTCACCTTTAATCAAGTAAAAGGTATATTCGGATTTGGTGACTCTGATATCATTGGAAAAATTGGTTTTCCTGCCGTACAAGCTGCACCAGCACTCTCCAGTACGTTCCCTTTTATTTTTACTGGTAAGAAACCAGTACACTGCCTCATACCATGTGCGATCGATCAAGATCCGTACTTTCGTATGACACGTGACGTAGCACCACGTTTGGGATTCCCAAAATGTGCGCTGCTACATTCAAGCTTTTTCCCCGCACTTCAAGGCGCGAAATCAAAAATGTCAGCCAGTGATCAGAATTCAGCAGTATTCCTTACCGATACACCAAAACAAATAAAGAATAAAATTAATAAGTATGCATTTTCGGGTGGACGTGCCACAGTCGAGGAGCATCGCAAATT